AGCTGTGCTGAGGTGCCAGGGATAGATGAAGTCACCTCTCAGTGATTAAATTTTTAACACCCTCTGCTGTTATCCCGAATGCTAGTTTAGTCGCTTGGAACCAGGTGTGCCCCACTTGTGGCCTCCAGGCCGTCTGAGTCTCGGATTGGCTGTCAATGCAGTCCGTCATCTTTGCAGATGACAGCGTCATATCGCAATATCAAAAGGTTAGACAACTCTGTCAGATTTAGACTGTCCGCCTTCCGAAAACAGGGAGATGTGCAGTGAGTGACGGCTGTGTTAGGGAAGAAGCCCGATGCTGTATGGGATTGATCACGGCTTCATGCTCAACGCTGCTTCATACAGTGATACATTCGTTTCTCTTTTGTATTTGAAGCAAAGCAAGCAGCTCGGTCCATTTGTTTTTCAGATCCCTTTTCAGTAAGTATCTAAGTCTCAGAATACTTGAGGCTTAGGAATTTATCGAAGAAAGAAGTTTGCTTAGCCTTGTGTTTCTGGGCTTTGGGAAGTCCACGGTTGAGCAACTGCATCTGCCTTCCAATATGGTAGAAGTTGCTGGGTGAAGCAGGTGCACTCGGAAGAGAACAGGGAGTAGGGGCAACCTTGCTCCTAAAAACAGCTGACACGGGAATAGCAACCACTCACTCGCCTTTGTGAGAATCAACCCGTTCTCTAAGAAATCTGCTTACTAGGCAGTAGGAATCAATGAGTGATGGCAGTTAGACCCTGAGAATAACAAAGTGCTCATCAAACCTCTCCCGAGAGTCAGGCAGTGTGCCATCCTGCATGTTACTCGGCATACGAGAAGGTAACTGCACTCTCTGTCTTTGAATGCAAGGTAGGGCCAGAGAAGTTCTAATTTCGACCCTGACAGCCAGTGTCCTGTTGCTTTCATCTTCATCTCTGCTGGATTTCGTAGAATTCCGCAAGCATGGGAGTCAGTGTTGGCCAACCCTCCTGGAACCATCCATCAGTGTCCGGATTTGACCTTTCTCAGGAACTTCTTTGGGGAAAGCAGTGCATTCTAATATTACGCCCGCACTCAGAAACGTCTTAGGCAAGAGGCCAATTGTTAGCTTTCCTTCACTGCTACAGGTGCCCACACTGATCCGTTTGCAGTGGTCGATGGTGTTTGGATGGATTCCTGATCAGAAATCCACCCATGGTCGCTTGTTTTCTAACCGGCTCAGTATTTCCTGCCAAGGGTGTAAGACACGGTACCCATGGCTAGCGGGTCCTGGCAACCATCTGTGCAGCCCACTGGCTGCACAATCCAAGCAAACAGCCAGTTGCCCCAGGTGATGGAGCACCAGTGCCGAGCGTAGAACTGGTGTCTCTGATGGGATGGATTGTGTCTATGTCTCCATCCTTATCCCCGGACCCCTGCCTTACTCAGGCACTTCCTTCCCATCTGTAAGTTAATTAGCCATTGTGTACCTCCCCCTTTTCTTGCAGAGATTACATGGCAGTCTTTGGGCTCAGGATGAGCAGAGGACGAAGGACCTGGCACATGCTTAGAATCCTGCTGCAGGTCCCAGAGCAGGAGGGCTAAAGATTGGGCACCTGATCAGCCCTCTCTGCCTCTTAACTCTTGAGGGTCTTGAGTGGCCTGGATCTGCCTGTCAAGGACGCTGAGCCTTCTTTCTGCCTAGTCATAGAAAGTGGGACATAGACTTGATTGACATTTTGCAATGCCAGATGGACTTGAGCAGACCCATGGGTTGCTTGGCCATGTCTGGTATGAGGGGACAAGCTAATGTCCTATTCTTGAGGACAGTGTTGGCAGGGATATGAAAGGAAAGCGAGCAGCAGTGTCTGCTGCATGCTGGGTCTCTCTCCACCCTCCAGGTCAACGTGGACAAAGGAGTCCTGTCTTCCTGCGTGCACTCTTATCCCTGGCTTACTTCTGTAGGGGGTGTGCGACTCTCTAAGTTCTGTATGTGAAGGGGAGAGTGAGACTGTTCTACTCTGTGTCCTGAGGCTTTGAACCCCCAGGACTCTATGCTTCCCCCAACACTCTGCCTGAAGCTCCTGGGAGAAACTTAAAGACTTTAGTTCATTAATTTTTATATATCATTCCTTGTGTATGGTTAAAAACTTGATTCCAAACACTCATCAATTTGACTGCCCTGGGAAGAGGTCCTTGTTTTTTTCAGTAGGAGCTAGTGTGCTATGTGATTTTTGTGTCCTGGTCCCTCTCCTGTTACCAAAGAGGGAGCCCACTTAGAAGCCAACAACTCAGCCAGCCACACATATTTATTGTTCAGTGTTGGATGGCCTCTTTCAAACGCTGTCTCATTTGGTCCTACCATTGCATATTGCTGCCCCCCACTCCATCTCATGGTTGAGCAGACCAGGGCTGTGTGTTCCCTTAAGCCACACACCAGTTTGTCCTCCCTGGACAACTGTGGTGCCGTAAGAAGCAGGGAGAGACCTTTGGTGTTCTCATCCTGTTAGGGGCCAACTAAGAAGTTAAGTCTCAAACATGCGCTTGGAAGCATCAATAGTACCGGGCATGTCAAAGTGTTCTGAACTCTGCTAAGACTCTCATTTTACATCAAGAACGCTCCTCAGACACAAGACAGGGCGGCTCAGAGAGCTGAAGTTCTTGCTGAAGCTCCCGAGAAGAACTTGCAAAGCAGTAGTGGTAAGCTGTCCCTAGCATGGTCTGATAAGAGCCCACCAACATCCAGGAAACTATGCTCCTGCCCTTTTAGGGTCACACAGCGATTGCAGCGTGACACCAAGGCTAAAAGTACTTTCCTGGTAGAAGTGCCAGTGGTGCGTGGGTGGCTGCTTGCTGTGTGCAGAGGTGCTGGGGACAAAAAGGTATCTTTCTGAGTCCACCGCTAGTCAGCAGGACATTCTGGGGAGGGGAATTCACCTCCATCTGCTGGGAACTGAACTCTGAGCACTGGCTGAATTAAACCACCCCTTGTTTGGGAGGTGGGAAGTCACTCAGCCTTGCAGGCCTGTGGTACTAGCACATTCAAAGAAAGAATGTAACTGACAGCCAGAGGGCCTCAGACGAGCAAATTACGGGTAAGGTGTCTCTGGAAGAGAGAGAGGGGAAATTCTTCAAGAGGAATACAAGCTACAAACCATGCCCTCTGCTCCCAACTCTGTCCGTGGCAAGGGCAGTTGGCCTGTTGCTCCTATTGTGAGGGCAAATTCCCCATGGAACTTTCCTGTGTCTTTTTTGCTGAGTCAGTGCCGACTAAGTCCAATCTCATTAGAGTCCTTGCTGCCAATGTCCTGGGTGGTTTGCAGGAAGGAGAGAGTTTGCTCTACAGGAAAGGGGTCCCCCATAGCACATGGAATTATGTAATGTGACTTTCTCTGGGTACCACACTTTGATGTCATTATCTCTGGAAGACAGACAGTAAAAGGCCTGTCTGAGTTCACTGGGTCAGACACCAGGGCCTGCTTGGGACTTTGCAGGTAACTAGTAAAGTTCTTTATTGGCTCATAAGACCTAGCCCTTCCATGATTCATTCCGTACACTACTCTTTCCCTTTTGGCTACCTCCTGTAGCTATTTCCACAATCATTGAGGTTAAGATTCTCTGTAGAGTGTAGGTGAAGTTTTCCTATCCTGGCAGCTGTTTCCCAAATAACCTACATGGAGACTTAATATTACTTATAAATTCTTGACCTATAGCTCAGACTTGTTACTAGCTAACATGTACATTTAAATTAACCTGTATTTCTTATCTACACTCTACCATATGGCTTGGTACCTTTTCCCAGGACGGCATGCTCATCTCGCTTCTCCCTGGTTCTGCTGATGACTCCTCAGACTCCGTCCCTCTTCACTCCAGCATTCTCTCTGTCTCAGGCTGTCTCGCCCAATCTCTTCCTGCCCTGCTATCCGCCAATCAGCCTTTTTATTCACAGTAAGAGCAATGCATATTTATGATGTACAGAAGGAGTATCCCACATCAGTAGAGGCTATTCTTTGTTGTTGCTTCCTGCATAATTCACGATGCCTACGAATCCCATGATGCTCCATGACTGCTTTGCTACCAGTGAATGAGTCCATCTGATGCAGCTTCCGCGGCCCACAGCGTTCCATTGTGTACATGAGGGGCTAGGCCCTGGACACAGGCTGTTATCAGAAAGAGGATAGGGTTCTCTTTCCTCATCGCCTAGAACTCTTACAGTCAGAAGAATGAAAATGCCAGTAGGGAGGGGAACATGATTGATGGGTGGTGACCTGGCAATCAGTGAGACCAGCCATCAGCTGTGGCCTTGTTTCCCATGTCACTTAGGAGGACAAAGAGATCAAAACAGGGGAAAAAAAAATGTCTCACACGGGCTTGGCACTAAGAATTGCTCACCGATCATTTATTTCTGAGGGGGTCTACAAAATGGCTCATTGGTGAAGACACCTGTTGCTAAGCCTGATGACCCGAATTTGAACCCCAGAACCTGAATGGTGGAAGGAGAGAACTGACTCCCCCGCGTTGTCTTCTGGTTTCCACATGTGTACGCCCGCACTTGTGTATGCTCCGATAAAAAGGAAAAAGGAAAAAAAAAACAATTGGTCAATAAATGCCCCTTTTTCTTTGCTTCTTGATTTTTTTTTTATTATGGCACTAACTGGACACAAATATACAGCTTCAACTCAAGAAAGTCTTTAACTTTGTCTTCCAAGTATAGGATTGCAGGCTCTTTCTATCATAGTTGGCCCAGCGTTTCCTTCCCTTGCTTTATTTATTTACTTAATCGATCAACCTATTGTTATTTCGTGTGTGTGTGTGTGTGTGTGTGTGTCTATGTATGTCAGAGTGTGCATGGAGGTCTGAGGATAACCCATTAGAGTTAGCTCTCTCGCTCCACAATGGGGGTTGTATCATTGAACTCAAGTTGGACTCGACTGCTGATCCATTTCGCCAGCTCTTAGTTTTTATTTTTTTTTTCAATGAATGAGATACCACCTTCCCCAATCTGTTCAGCACGGATACTGACCCATCTCTTCCCTCTTCTTGCTTATCCTAGCATACCCGTTAAGCATTCCAGAAGGATTTGAGGATCATCCTGTTCTAAAATAAAGCTGGAGTATTTGGGGATTTGGAAAATTAAGGTAAGTGAGGAATGGTCTCTTTCTGAGCCTTGTGGAAACAAAATTTAACTCTGGGAATGGGTAGTCTCCGTGGCAGGATTTGGGGTATGTTTTAGTGTTCTTTATAGGTCTTCCTGTGGCAATTAAAAGTGCTTAGGAAGCTGGCTTCCCATTCATCTATGCCTTGCTCTCTCTCTCTCAGTATTTCTTCCATTTGTTTGGCCATAGTGCCTAGCACATGCTCCCTGCTCCAAACAGGAGAACCCACTGCCTCATAGGAGAATCAGTTGCGTTGATTTGCTGTGGACAACTGCCCTGGGAGAGGAACAGAAAGTGGGAAAGGGTCCTGTAATGAGGTCAGAAAACATTTGGGGCACCCAGACCGTGAGATCTTCCTTTTTGCCTCGCATAATCTGTGTTTTCTCCTCTGCCTCCATCCTGTGTTGTGATCCTACTAAATCTGTGGCTACCCTGGTGAGGCTAAGACTTAAAGCCCAATTGCTTCCTACAGACCTATGTTTTTCCATCCTACCTGTCTGCGCTCCATTGAGTCTTGTTGAGCTCAGAGTGTTATTTGGTAGGACTATGTATCCCATGTGTTTCTTCCAACTTAGGTGCTATGGCCACTGGATGGAAAGGAAGAAGGGTCAAGCTCAGTGAGTTGTCAGATATGCCGGAGGAAATGCCTCAGAAACAGAAGAGGGATCTTTTTTTTTCTTGATTAATGACTTACAATTTATCAATGACAGCATATAGGGTGCCTTTATATGTCAGACCATTAAAAGTTTTGGTCTGCTGTTGTCTCTGCCTTTTTCTTAGCCTCAAGCCTGTTTGGGTAGTAACTTGTGAATCTCCAGTGAATCTTTTTTTTAAAAAAATATTTATTTATTTATTATGTATACAATATTCTGTCTGTGTATATGTCTGCAGTCCAGAATGAGGGCACCTGACCTCATTACAGATGGTTGTGAGCCACCACGTGGTTGCCAGGAATTGAACTCAGGACCTTTGGAAGAGCAGGCAATGCTCTTAACCACTGAGCCATCTCTCCAGCCCCTCTCCAGTGAATCTTAAGCAGAGCTGATTGCTCCCTAAACTGGACCACAGCAGGCAGTTTAAGGAATGAGCAGTCATACTGTGGCTTCTGCAGTCGGATGTAACTTCCATCTCTCCTCTGGCCACTTCTCCTGACCAAAGAGCTTTATCGAAGTTAGGGTAGTCTTGTTTATTCCACTACTCACACAGTCCCTGGTCCAGGGTAGGCCTCTCAGTGGATGTGGAAATGTGAACTGCTGAATGATGAACGCAGCAGGGGAGGGTGCTAGACGTTCATACAGGCATAGCAATGTGCTAGCCTTTTATGTTCATCACTATTCTCTGCTTCTCCTTGAAGGCTGACCTATCCCCAAATGGGAGAGAAGGGCAGAGGGAGTCCAGTCAGCAGGACAGAGACTCCTGAGAGCTGAGCAGTTGCCCCTTGCTGCCATGGCGTGGAAATAAGTGGTGTCGTCTACTTTCCGTGAACAGAGGAGAGCCCCAGCAAGTCTGTGTGCTGGTGAAAAGGATAGCGTTTGCCTAGAATTCAGGTGCCAGGTGCAGGAAGACAGGGCAGGGATTGGGGTTCTCGGGCTCACAGTCCTGGGGCGGAGGTGCCCATTGGGGTGGAGTCCCAATGCCCACATTAGTATTCATGTACGTAGTTCTGTTTGTGTTGAAAATGCTGCTGTCACACCAGGAGGCTGTCTGCCCATGGCCTGCTTCTGCCAGTAGGACAACCATCCTTTCCTACCCATGCACTTGGCCTCTGTGAAATGGAAGGACGAAAACCATGGAGCCTTTCTCACTTGAAAAATAGACCAGTGCCCACTGGGTATGGAGAGCCACAAGGATCACAAAACCTGGCTGGAAGAATAGCTTCAAATGGGAAGACGTATTCCTTGAGACTCTTTCTGATGGCTTGCCTGTCTGGCTTCAGACTTTCTCAGTATTTTTCTCTCTCACCCCACCCCTCCAGTACCACTTCGGGCATGCAACAGGATGAGCTCCTCCCCTTCTGGTTGGTGCTCCGGATGAGTATGTCCCTTAAGAGTTCATGAGTTGGCACATTAAGTCCATGATGTATAGTATTCGAGAGAGTAACACCCAGGTGAAGTTGTGAAGCCCTCATGAACAGCCCCCCCACCCCACCCCATTAAAATCGAATGGGTCAACTATTATGGCTCTTGACTCATCCCTCTCCTCTTCTTCTTACGGATGAATTCACATCCCTTCTATCTTAGGGTTTCTATTGCCCAAAAAGCAAGTTAGGGAGGAAAGGGTTGATTAGGCTTATACTTCAGCATTGCTGTTTATCACTGAAGAAAGACAGGGCAGGAACTCAAACAGGGCAGGATCTTGGAGGCAGGATCTGATGCTGAGGCCATGGAGGGGAACTGCTTACCAGCTTGCTTCCTATGACTTTCTCAGCCCACCTTTTTATAGAGCCCAGGACCAGCAATCCAGGGATGGCACCACCCACCATGGGCAGGGCCCTCTCCCACTGATCACTAAATGGGAAAATGCCTTACAGCTGGATCTCAACAAGGCATTTCCTCAGCGGAGGCGCCTTCCTCTGATGACTGTAGCTTGTAGCAAGCTGACACACAAAACCAGTCAGTACACTTTTGTACCCTAAGATACTCTCCAGACACCAACCAGATATAGTTATCTGGCCTTATACTTTCTTTTTTAGAACCATGAGCTAAAATGGGTCCCTTTTTTATTAATAAACTATCAGAACTAAGGCGCTGTATAGAAAATAGACAAAAGACACAGACGAGTGACTTTTTGGCCTTTCTCTTGCCCTTTTGCCCTCAGCCCCCTCCAGCTTCTCTTTCCCCATCTACTATTCTTAGTTCTGTGCCTACTATGCCCTCATTGACCTCCTTTGGTTCTGGTGCTAGGATGTCTGTGGGCTTCTGTCTTCCTGCCTTTAGACATGAGCCCACAGTACTCATTAGCCACACGGTACCCATGGAAAGAGTGTGTCCTTTGTTCTGTGTTCACAGTCGGAAGAAGTCCTGGCCCTCTTGCGCTCTACCCTTGTCAGCACGACTTTTCGAGTCACCCCCAGGATTGGCCCATTTGTCTATTGCTATTTCTTGTGGTTTCATATTGAGGTTTTGGTGCATTGCATTTGACCCGGAGTATATTTTTAGTACTAAAGGCAGAGTTCAATGAACGTCAAAACACGAAGGCAAATGAAGAGGAGGGATTTGTATGTCTAGGGAAAAGAAACATGCCTAATTTTATCTCTTCTGATGACGTCTGCCTCTGATTATGCCCGGTCACTGACTTTCCTCAGTGATGCCCATCGCTTTGGGGTTCTGTAGAGGTGGGAGCAGCAGCTGGTCCTGCCCCTAAAGACAGTGTCACAAAGCATTTGTGGGTGTCGATCCAGCAGCTGGCCACACAGAGGACCATGCATCCCAGCTGTAACTAAAAGAGGAATTAGTACCACAGTGAAGGCCTGAGTGTGGGATTTGCAGGGCCTATTATTGTATCAGCAAGCTCTGATCTGCGTTGTGGAAGCAGGCTAGTTTTTCTTGGTCTTCAGCTCTTCTTCCAGGATAATACATATTTAGTAAAGGTTCTAGATCTTCTCTCACTAGTCCGACCCTTTGGCATCAGCACAGGCTCAAAGGGCATGCTTGGGGACACTTGGGTTGACAGAATTTCAGAATTCTGACTTTGGCCTTCCAAAAAGATTATACACCTTTCCAAGCAATGGCTTTCCTGCCTGCTTCCAGAGGCAAAGCAAGCCTTGCCATCTGCTTAGGACTTCACAGTTCATAAAGTTTTTCCCCCCTCTATGCTGTCTGCTTTCTTTTATTGCACAAATCTTTATTTTTATGGCTCTGTGTTTACTGAAATGCCTCAACGTGCCACTGTGCAGGGTCTGGAGGAAGAGCTGCTGTCCCTGTACCTAGGGATTTCCCAAGAGCATGGCTACCGTTTCCCCAGGCTGGAGTCTAGGGGAGATTGCATGGCCTGGGATCAAGCTGCTAGTTATGACCTTCACATGAGAACACAGGGCTTCTGAACCTAGCCCTGAAACTGACTGGGACCTGCCTGATGCCCTGCCTGTCTCCTGTCTTCTTCTCCAGCTGTGTGCCACATCCCTTCCCTATCCCCTCACTTCTCCTGCCCTCCTTTTCTGCCTCCTCTTTCCCTCGGCTCCCAGTTCGATTTCTTCTGAAGATGAACAGCTTTCTGTCCCTACAGTGCTTTTGTGGGAAGTGATCCAGTCATAAAGAGCTGGGCTTGGCACTTGTGTGACTTGCCTTGAGATCTTCCTTAGCCTCAGCTCTTTTTTCTATTAGTACCTTTTGTGATGATGGCAGACTACCCCGGTTCCTTCCTTGTCCTGCTCACCCTAACTGTGACAAGTCAGGGGCAGTCGCAGGTTGAGGTGCTAACAGTGGATGGGTGACCTTTTTCTCTGTCATTGAAATATAACAGGTGTATTAGCTGGGATTCTCTGGCGAAATAGAACCAGCGGACAGTAAAGAGAGATGTGTATCTCTGTATCGATGTCTCTATGGAGAAGGGTTTGCTTTTCATTTAAGCATTGACTCATGTCATAGAGGTGGTGACTTTCTATGGTTGGCAGGATGTATCTGGAGACTAGGCAACCAGTGATATGCATAGAGGAACCAAGTTATACATTGTCTCTGTTCAGGTACCCAGGCGGAGATAGAAGGCAATTCAATCTACCTGTCTCCTTATTCAGCTTTCTCATCACCACTGGGTTTTGATTCTGAGTGAGGTGGGTGATACCCGCCCACACTGGTCAAGCCACCCACGGCAGTCTCTCTTCTTCCCTCCTTGTCTGGAAACACCATCACCAAAAGCCTCCTCGGAAGTACCATTTACGGTGTCTCCAAGTATCTCCTGGCCCAGCCAAATTGAAACATTGGGTAGACACAATGTATCTAATTGAGTCTGTCTCAGCTGGCTGACATCCATGTCAGGCCACAGGC